CTTAATGGAGATAAAAATATGTGGAGGTGTATGAGTAGCCAAAATGCCAACAAGAACAGAGAATACTTTAGAATGCTGTAGGCAGTTAACAGCTAGAAATAATGAAGAAGTAATGGGAAATGTGGGATCATTTTTGGCACTCAACTTTGGAGTGTTGTAGTTATCACTAAAGTTATGAGAGTTTAGATCAGGAGCAGTTAGCCAAGGCAGAGGGAGTTTGAGCAAGTCACATCTACTGTTAACATGTAGGAGCCTGTTGCTTTTCTTAGATTAACAGAATCATTTGCAGATATTAAGTTGGTATCTAACCTGGCCAGATAATGTGAACTGAGCCACGTAAGAAACCCATGTGTAAAAACAAGGCAGACATCTGAGCTAGAAATTCCTGGGAAGCTAGAGGATGTGACACATGTGTGTGCAAATAACAGCTAGTAATCTGACCTGTGGCTTAATTATATTGTTGTTGAATTGATCCTTGATAAACACGTCCACAGGAGTAGGAAAAATAGAGCACTTATTTCTGACAGGTTATGTTTATGATACGCAATCAAGTATACTGTTAATCTTGGGTGCTGCCTGTAGTATTTACTAGGCAATGAACTTTGAGACAGACCTAAAAAGATAAACCTCTAAGATCCAGGAATAAACCTCAGTTTTTAGAAAATACAGACAGGCAGGCAGAGAGGATGAAAAGTGACACTGGGTTTTAAAAAGTAAAACGGTAATTTTAAAATCTACATTTCTCACTAAACTACTATCTGCCTCTGAAAGCAACAGTCACATGAAATTCCTTTGATTTGTTAGGCAATGTTTATAAATTTTGCTTCTTTTCCAGTAAACTGGATAGCAAGTTATTGTTTAAAAACTCCTCTTTTGTTTACCCTTTTGGCAAACCTTTGTATCTACCATGAAACATGACTCCATAAAATTTGAATGTTTCTGCAACCAACTGCTGCCTGTCTGTATATCAAAGTCCTGTTTGCTGACACAGTGGGGAAAAGTTGAAATGGCAGCTCTTTTACTGGTAGAACTAAGAGTTTTGTGGGAGAATAAACCAATTTCTCTCCTATCAGGTGTTTAATTTCCCCCTCAAGCCTGACTCACCTGTACTAGAGTACCTTCACTTTTTACACTTTTTTGCTGATGAGGGATTTCAGCAAGAGATAGTGGACATGTAAATATGTATATAGCTTTTAAGAGCAGAAAGTTCAGAGAAGGAGCGAACACAGCTGGACTGTCTTGCACTATGTGGAAAGGCTGGCAGATAGAAAAAAAATATTGTGTAAGCTGGGAAAAACAACAATAACAATGGTTTGAAAATAGAAATGAATACACAGCCTCACAGTGATCTCTCACAAAGGCATCTTTCAGAGGCGAGCTGTGCTTTCAGTCTCCTTTTGTATCTTATCTCCTTGGGACAACCGAAGGGAAAGCAAACAGGCAACCCCGCTTGGAAACCCGAATGATGAGCAGTGGTGCCTCAGTTCCCAGGATGGTGGATTGCCCACAGGATGAATGGGCTGTGGCAGTAAATAGGGTATGTCATCATCTCACAAAGCCCCACAAAGGAAAAGCATATCCTGAAGCATTGAGATTTGAACAATATACCGGAAAATGTACCTTTGGGGAAAAAAAAAAAAAATCTATTGACAGGAAAGACTGAAGAGACCAGACATGATTTAATAGGGTTCCATTTTCTATCATATCAAGCTGCCAGAACTTAGGCTTGAAGGTGCAGACAGCAGCCTGGACACGTAAGACAAAACATCTGTTGAGAATGGCTTAGGTGTCACCTCATGCTGCCTCAAACCGAAGAGGAGCAGCCAGAGGGTGTTTCACTGTGTCTTACAACTGTGTTTTCCACGTGGGAAACTTACAACAACATAACATATGTGCATGATTCATACTGGGTGTGCATATGAGTAACTTTTTTTAATAGGAGGATTTGTCCCAAAAGCTAGAAGACAAACAGATGCACCTATGTCTCATAACCTCCCTTCTGTTTCAGCTGGTTACTGCCTCCCTGTATTTCATCTATTCTGCTCTGGAGGAAGAGATAGAACACAACAAGAATAACCCGGTTTATGCTCCTGTTTATTTTCCATCGGAGCTGCACCGGAAAGCCGCCTTGGAGAAAGACTTGGAGTACTTCTACGGCAGCAACTGGAGGGAAGAGATCCCATGTCCTGAGGCTACTCAGAAATACGTAGAAAGACTCCATTACGTTGGCAAGAAACATCCAGAGCTCCTGGTAGCCCATGCCTATACTCGGTACTTGGGAGATCTGTCAGGGGGGCAGGTGCTGAAGAAAATTGCCCAAAAGGCCTTGCAGTTGCCCAGCACTGGAGAAGGGCTGGCTTTCTTCACCTTCGATGGAGTATCTAATGCCACCAAGTTCAAGCAGCTCTATCGCTCCCGCATGAATGCCCTTGAGATGGATGTTGCCACCAAGACAAGAGTCTTGGAAGAAGCCAAGAAAGCATTTTTTTTCAAGTCAGAAACAACTGACCAGCCCTGTCTGCCCACACCCTTCTCTCAAACAAGATAACAGCTACTGGGGAAAGGCAAAGCTGATATTTCTGGTGGGGAGCTCAAAGCAAACTGTGGGTTAGGCCAAGAGATAGGCATCTCCACTTGTCTTACCTGGAAGTCTAATGAACAACCAGTTTCTAAAAGATCCTGCTTCCTCCTCTAGGGTTTGAATTCAAGCTCTTTCTTGTGGTGTTGTTTAGATATAAATGAGGCTTTATTTTGGGAGCAGGAATCAACATCTACCTGCCCCACCTCCATAGTAAAGCTCTGCAACTCCTCTATGAATCCTAACTGGATACACATAGACCTTGCTTTCCTTCCTGTCAGAAGATGGGCCTTCTCTTGAGCAGGAAAGCCTGTAAAGTGAACAAGGAGCTTGAAAGACACTCTCTTGACCCCACAGGTAGATTATGTTCTGTGTAAAAAGGGCAGCAGTACCAGGAGGGGCACCACTGGGTTGAAGACTCATGGTTTCTTCTGGTTCCTGAAGGGTCTAGGGCAGGGGCAAGGGGTCCAGGGAAAGAAGAAAAAAGCCCACCTAATGTGACAGTGTTCATTCTTTTTAGGTATTTGAAGCACTGCAGGAGCTGGTGTCTAAGGGCCAAGAAAATGGTCACCCTGTGCAGCTGAAGGCAGAGCTTCGCACAAGGAACGCTAACAAATCATATGAACATGGTAAGAGATTTCTAAAAGCAGTTGCTTAAAATTGCCCCTTGTGGTTTTCTTTTCCTCCTTTCTCGCTTGTACAAACCACTGAGAAATAAGCGTGAGGCTCTTGCTTCATCTCTTCACCAGCAGTCAGCAAGAAGGGGCCCTGATATGTGTGAAGCTGCCTCCAGACGTGGCAGAGCAGAGATGACATATTTGAGTTCTCCATGAAGAATGTCTGTGAAAAGTTGCAATTTTGGGCCTAAAATAATAGCTGTGATGTTGACAGAGGTTCTTCTATATATACAACCTTACCCAAGAGGCTCTCCTTTCAGACTCTATCTTCCTGTGGCTATTTTCATGCCTCTCAGATGTATTTACTGAAAATATTTCCTGAAATCAATGAAAATGCGCTAGGTTTAAAATCAGCATGAAAGGTGAAGTGAAAGTGGAGCTGTAGAGACTCCAGTTAAATTTTGCAACACTGAAAAGGCTCCATCTACTGGTAAAGGAGTAGATCCTGTGCGAGGACCGTTTCTACATAGCCAGTACTGCTCTTGCTGGCAAAAGTGATGGCTTTTTAAGGAGTCAGACTTGTGACAGGACTCAGATGACTGCAGTCAGTCTGGACAGGACTCAGATGTGTGCAGAGGAAAGTGGTTTCCCTGATCAGATGTGGTTTACATAATAAAGCTCTTATGACCTACACCCTCTGAAACTAAAATCCTATCTAAAAGGTAGGATTTTCTAAAAAGCTCAGTGTTAGATGAGAAGCCCCATTCCACAATTGCTCTAGGGCAATTATTTGTCTGGAGTGTTAAGGAGTACCTATTAAGTCATAAAATGCCTAACTGATTACATTACTCTGAGCAAGAAGGCAAAATGCCTTTAAAGTTTAACCATCTAACTGTCTCTAGATGTGTCAGAGGTTTGAATGAGTTTCTTTAGGATCTGGTGTGACTTATTTATAAGCCAGTAGGGAGACCAGGGAAGATGCCAAATACAAGCAGAGCAGAATCTGCTGTCACTCCTTCCTCCTGCCTCACTGGACTCCCAGCAATCTCCTTCTCCCCAAAACAAATGCACCAAAGTCTGCTCAGCGCTGTGGAGTAGAGACACACATACCTTCCTTCAACTTTTTTTATTTATTTTCTATTTCATCTAGGTCCAGTGTCTGGGAAAGAAGGAGAGAGGACAAACACAAGGCACACAGAAGTGCTGTCCAACACTCCCCTCATACGGTGGATCCTTGCACTTAGCTTCCTAGTCACAACAGTCGCAGTGGGCTTATTTGCCATGTGAACAAGAAGGATCTGCACCTTCTTTTAATGCCTTTCCTCACCATGAACTAATCCGTCTTCCCCAGTCCTTCCGAGAGAAATTCTCCTTGGCTGGGTGCTGTGATCTTGGCTCTGTCACTAACATTAGGAGACTTCTCTCCCTAGAAAGCAAAAGAGAATGTTAAGGGGGTTCAGGCAAAATCTCTCCTGTGCTTGGTGTAAATTATGCCACAGACTAAACTTATCACTAGAACATAAGGGCAGAAAAGATGTAAAAGCAATGACCAGAAATTGTCATTGCTTTATAGAGCTCCTACAAGATCAGAAATGCACGTTTGGTAACTTGTCTCACCTCAGAAATAAAAAGCTCCTCAGAGCTCTGTTTGCTCAATATTTTATACTGCTAGCTGGAACGGTGATCACTGTTTCTGTGGAGCCACAAGGTTCCTCTGGGTTATATATACTGTTTTATATGTCACTAGAGGATTAAATCTTTTTCAAATCATTTTTAAGCATAATACGGTTGTTGAACAAACAGTGTTGGTCTTTTATCTTGTAAGATAATTTATATACATAATAAACATCAATGTAAAGTCTTCAAGCCTGGTGTTTCCTATTGCTAGAGTTGTATCTGGATGGAAAGGAGGTGCCTTTCTGCTTCTCAATTTTATGTCTTCTGGAGCTGCTGCCTCCACAGACACAATAACCAAATAAAAGCAGGAGTTATCAGACCCAGACTCTGTTCCATTCTATCCTAATGATAACTTTCACAAGTTTCTTAGGCTTCACAATGACAGCCCACATAAACAGCTATTTTCCCCTTTGCTCACTCAGAACTGGAGGTCTGGGCTGTGGGCAAGCTGTTGTTATGGCCATAGGCCGTAGGTCCCTGCAGGAGTGGGTGCAATTTTAGTGCACCAGAGCAGATATCGACAAGGCTGTTAATCCTTCAGCTCAGAATCCTTTCACCTTTTTCTACCCCAAGAGTCTCTGTGATCAATCTGTCTTCAAGATGTTACCTGTTCTGGCTGTGGCCTTCATCCCAAAGACTCATCCCATGTACTCATCTACATTAAGGACCAGGACTCAAAGAGCAAGAATCAGAAAGCAGGTCCTGTAGAGAATAAAACAGTGAGAAAGACGGACTGTAACTGCCCTCAGGCTTGTCTGTCCCATTTTTCTTCCAAAATGCCCTCTAATACTTCCCTAGTTGGACTCATTCGCCAATCCCTGGAAAAAAAATAAAACAAGTTATTTGTTAAAAAAATAAGATAGTCAAATGCTTGAAAAGCAGGGTGATAGCTATTCAAATCCAAGAAAAAAACATTCAAATTCATTCCATCCATTCAAATTTAAGTTCACCTATTCTGTCTATCTAACCCACCCAACTAAATCATTATGTTCCTTCAACATAGCAAATAAATGCCCCCAACATGCAAATAAATGCCAAGAAGCTCAGAAAATCTGTGCACTCTAGAACAGCCAGTTGCCCTGCTCTGCTGCCCTAAAGCAAGTCTTCAGAGGTAAAAATTAAAACTTTGTTTTTGTACACTTTCTATAAGCCGTAATGGTTACTCAATGACATCTTTCCCCCAGAATTTAGTACTAGTTAGCAGAAAAGTATCCCAGAGTAAATATATCCTAAAACATGTTCACATGCCTATTGCGCTTGCAGCATAGCTTTTTGGATTGCTATTTTCCTATGGGGTTCTGAATTGTCCAACCACTTGCCATTTCCCTTTTCCAGTATGTCCCAGATGGAGCTATCTTCTTTATTCATCCAGCCTTATTTGGCTCTTGGCCTGCTGCACCACAACAAATCTGTATACAGTCTTTCCTTCTCTTTCCTCTGAAATGTGCCCATTATGGATCTGTCACCTGAGCTATGGACTAGCCCTCATTACCCCGTGAAGATACCAGAGTTGTCAGCAGTTACATCCCAAATGCTACCCCAGAAAGGCACGAGTGCAAGGCATGCGTAGTCTTCACAGGAAGGGCCCTGAAGATGTTCTAAGGTATCTCCCATGGCTCCTCGTCTGGTCTGTGGCACCCAAAACATCAGAACTGCAATATGGCTGGAGTTGATATGGATCTCTGGAGACCGCCTGGTCTAACCTTCTGCTGGTGCATGGTCACCTAGACCAGGCTGCCCAGGACTGCATCAGGTTGCTTTTGAGCATCTCCCAGGCTGGAGACTCCACAAGTTCTCTGGGCAAGCCAGGATTGATCAAAACACTAATCCTCACAGATCTCCATTATCCCCTTTTCAGGTGCATCAAGGGCCCTCTCAGCACCACCCAAAGATACGGAGGGCTGCCACCAATGCCATGGTTTAGGGGCTTGGTGGGGCAACTTCTGGGCAAACAGCTGGATGCCCCCCAGCACCCAGCATGGAGGGAGGCAGGAATTCCAGGAAACTGCGGTGTTCTCCCCCCTCATCCTCCAGCCTCACAGCTATCGCCGCTCTATTTTATCCGTGTCCCTTCACGTGTGTCCCTTCACGTGTGTCCCTTAACCCGTGTCGCTCTCACCGCGGTGCCTCCCCTTCCCCCGGCCCCGGCCGCGCTGCTCTCACTCCCCAGCACCCAGCATGGAGGGAGGCAGGAATTCCAGGAAACTGCGGTGTTCTCCCCCCTCATCCTCCAGCCTCACAGCTATCGCCGCTCTATTTTATCCGTGTCCCTTCACGTGTGTCCCTTCACGTGTGTCCCTTAACCCGTGTCGCTCTCACCGCGGTGCCTCCCCTTCCCCCGGCCCCGGCCGCGCTGCTCTCACTGCAGCCTCCCCCTCGCCGCTCCGCCCACAATAGT